AACCCCCGAGGAGGACGATGGCTCGGAAGTGGTCCCGAGACATCGTGATAGCACTGCGAGGGTGCTGGGGGTAGTAAGTTCTGCCCCTGGGACGTGCTTCAAATAAAGCAAAGCGAGAAGGGGGCCCCGGTTGCGTTCCGAACGGAGATCCCGGGACCCCTCGTACACGCTGATGGAGACCACCGTGGGGTTTTGGCCGGTAGGAGTCCGGCATAACCTTCCGGTTGCCCCCGCAGCCGGAGGTATCCATGAGGATTTCCCCACGAAAAAAAAAAAAAGACCCTTGCGTTCCGTTGCCTTTACCCGAATTTCCCTACTTTCAGCACACAGTTCTCTCTTGTGCCTGCTTTGCGTTGAAGTCTCCCAGTAACACCGTATACTGGTTGTGGGGGAATGAATAGCTCTGGAGATATCTTCACACATTTCTTCCACCTCTTCATCGGGATGTGCTGAGGTTGGGGCGTAAACCTGTCCTTCAGCGAATACCATTTGGTGATTCTGAGTATAAGGTATGCAACCCTCGTCGATACACTCCCAATTTTTACAACGTTGTCAACGAGAGACTATTGGACGATAAATACGACACCTCCTTGGAACAGATGGTCGTCGTCCCGGTGATAGAACAAGTTGCTGGATTCGAGGATTAACATGTCTTCTCTTCGGACTTCAGATAATCCTAGAGCAGCCCAAATCTTTCTTATCTCATTTCTTCTTCCAGCTCCAGGATCTTCACGTTAGTTCTCAGGGTGCGTGCGTTATATGTTGCCAGGTCAAGTCGTCTTAGGTGGCAACCGAACCTCCATCGGAGACTCTTAGCACTCCCTGCCCCGCCGTTACCATGGTCGCCACCGTAGCCAGGAATAGTGGGTTTTGTTTCATTTTTAAAGACGGGAAAACAAATTTAGCCTTAAAGACCTTCAGAAGCTGTACAATTCCGACAAATGATAAATTTAAAAATGTTGTACAACCGACTTCAATATAAACAAAAAGTACTGGTCAGATCTTGGTCAAATTTATATGGGACCAAATGAGAAGCACTAGCTTTCAAATAAAAAAGAATCATTAAAATCGGTTCACCTAGAAAAAAGTTATGAGGTAACACATATAAAAAATACTGTCGTATAGAGAATCTACTTCATTTTTAAGTCGTTTAAACATCTACAGATTCCTCGTGAGCCGTGTCTACGTGTTGTTTTCGAGAGTCATTACGAAACGAAGTCTCCAGAATAAACCGGTTCCCGAAAGTTTAAATATTTGATTGGTGCTACAGTCACTTTAGTATTTCTAGGTTGACTCTTGATATATCGAAGTGCTGAATTATTGTTGTACAGTAAGGCTAAGATGACTACACAACCAGAGTACAAAACCTATGCAACTACAGAGACGTAAAAGAATAGGTGACGTTATAATCCCGTAACATCAAAGGCTGGGCTTGCTAGGTTTGCCGATGATAATATAGTCATTATAGCAATAGAGGGCTTTAGCGCCTCCTTGATATCCCCTAGTAATGACACTAGTGAGTGTGTCTCAAAGCAGAGGTCTTAAAAGTCTAGCTTAACAAATATTCCGCAGCTGAACATAGGCCTCACCCAAGGAATCTATTAAATACGTACATAAAAATAATGACTATGTAACTATGTAGCTAATATGACAATTAGGGGTCTATGATAAAAACAGTTGAAAATTATAATGATTCGAGTAAAAATATTCGTCCATAGTTCACCAAAAGAACTGCTTTGAAATCTCAAGATTATATTCCTGAGATTATTTTTGATTTTCATTATATTATTCTGATATTTTTTTTTAAATAATTATCAGAGGAATATAATATAAGTTTAATATTATATACGTATGGACTTAATCGTACACCGCTATAATTTCGTTTATTCATTTAGCATTCACTATGCCAACGAGGTAATATAGCTTACGTAAATTAAATTTCGCCGGAGCGATCGTTCTTACTATCAGATAATAGGTATTAATTAAAAGTTACTTCGCAGTCCCCCTTTCCAGGCAGAAGGGGGAAGAGTTGGAGTTCTAAATGTAATGCGTTATGGTACATTAATCAAATGTCTTCGTAACTTGTAAAAGTTGGTTATACTACTTGAGACGTGTTTCTTTCTCTAAGTACATTGTATTTAAATCAGATACCTTTATAGCAACGACTTTGGTACAATTATTACAACTATACTTTAAAAAAATAACTGTTGTTTATTGCAATTTAAAAATAAATCTCATTCTAATCTAGCAACAAGTTGAAACCGCCGCGTAGGTAAGTAGTTTCTGAATCTGGATAGGGATTATTTTTCAAAATTAATAAGAAATACTGCAGTCGCCTAAAAAAAACTCAAGCAACTGCCAAGCGTAACAACTTTGGCAACATATCTTAAATATGACGCCTACGATCAGCAGGAGACTGTACTGATGATGACTGAAAGTGTATTCCTACCGTGTATAGTTTTTTCTTCTTGTTCGTTTTTTTTTTAATTTAATTTATTAATTTGCAAATATTTCTAATAGTATGAAAAAAAAAAAGTATAAACTAACAAGATATATAAATTCAAGGTTCCTTAAGCAAGCTTAGTATGCAAACTCAAAGTGTAAAACCAACGACAGGTGTAACTAATACTCCGTCGAATAGATTCAAATGGCTCTGGAGCGCAACTGAGAGAGCTTAAAACATACCTGACTGTTTACAATAAAGCGGACTATGAATTTTCTTACAGCGAAAGTTTGACGATTAAAGTTATATACAACTCGGTATAAATATTGTTTACAAAATTATAGTTCATTCATATAAAATTGTTGGGTGCATGTATAGCTTCATTACATTATTATTATTTTATTTTGTCTCAACAATCAGGATATAGATGATGGATGCTATGTGGCAATTTGACTGCTTTGTTGTTATAGTGATTGTCAGTCGTGGTAGAGCCATGCTGCAGCTATATTAATAGTATATTTGTAGCACGAATAAGTCGGCTCGACCGGGGAAGGACCACGCTCTCACAGAATACCAGCGTAAAATAGCAGCTTAACGCTGCTGTGTTTCATATGGTGAGTGTAGAGAACCGGAGACCCTTTTTACTGGAAAAGTGGCATTCCATCGTAGTCCTCACGGGTGACGACGCATCTGCATTTTGATTCCTTATTGAGGTCAGATGTAGATGTCTATGGGTCACAGTAACCACTTACCATTAGGTGGACTGTGTGCTCGCTTGTCACCCTATCCAAGTTTCCAGTTTAGAATCCCGGGTCGAGCCGAAAATCAGTTATTAGGTTTTTCTGTCTAGAAATTCTCATTAGCGGCCCGGAGTCACGAAGTCGGCGGTGTTTCACACCCGTGCTTAAGAAAGCACGTAAAGCCATTGGTCCAGCGCCTGAACTCTCTCCGGTCGTGTCGGATTACCGCCTCGGACTATTTGTGTGAGGGAATGAAGAGTGCACTTGTGATTGCGGATACACCTTGGTACTATAATCCTGTTCTGCGGAGATGACGAGCCTTTTTTAGGGTGACAAACGAGCACACAGTCCACCTGATGGTAGTGGTTGCTGTGGCCCATACACATCTACACCTATCTTCTCTCTCTCTATATCTATATTTATATTCTTTAGGTAGTGGATAATATTCTCACACCGTCACTTATTTTGTACTCCTATCCCTAAGTCATTGTCATTGTCAACCCTGGATATAGTCAACTGCTGGATGTAAGCCCAGAGATGGGACGATTGGTCGTTATTACCACGCTTGAAAATTTTTTACGTGGTAGAGCCATGCTGCAGCTATATTAATAGTATATTTGTAGCACGAATGAGTCGGCTCGACCAGGGAAGGACCCCACTCTCACAGAATACCAGCGTAAAATAGCAGCTTAATGCTGCTGTGTTTCGTATGGTGAGTGTAGAGAACCGGAGACACATTTTACAGGAAAAGAGGCATTCTTAGTCCTCACGGCTCACAACGCATCTGCATTTTGATTCGCAAACGAAGATAGACGTAGATGTCTATGGGGCACACAGCAACCACTTACCATCAGGTGGACTGTGTGCTCAATCACCCTCATTCCATAAAAAATCGTTGAAAACGATTTTATTCGTTCCGAATAAAGTTTTAAGTGTGAAGAAATTGGTGAATATGTGGATGAATTTTGATCGTGCTTTTTCAAATATTTCCTGCGCTTTCGATCCACCCGTGTTGCATAGAGAGAGCTTTGATTTTAAAACAAAAAAAGCATCAGAGGCTTTGAATGGATGGCATGTTAATTTTTTTGGTATGTAGCGTTAGTCAATTCTCTTGTTTCTAACATACACTGCGCCAATTTTTTGGATATTTTATCACTTTAAACTACAAAATTCAAATTGCACTGGAATTAAGTTTTTTTTTATTTATTTATTCATAGATTTTTATTTAAATTATACAATTGTAAATTATACAGGTTCGATACCCATCGAATTTTAATTGCAATTAAAAGTGCTGATTTCTAAAATCGTCTAATTGTCCAGCAGTGGACTTTTGCCGACTGATGAAGAAGGAAAAACAAAAAGGAAGTAGAAGAAGAAGAAGAAGATATTAAAATGTATAATACGGCGTTGTTATTATGTGGCAAAATTAACTTTTCTTTCTTCTTATGTTTGTTTCTTTTCTTTCTTGTTTTCCTTCTTTAATCTACGTAATTAACCATTTTAGACGTGTTAGTAGTCAGGTCACTAGACGGAGTGAGGAGAGATGTAGGAAATCGATGAATGCAAGTGACTCAGGACCGTACTTCATAGCATTCCTATAGGATGCCTATATGATCAGACGTGAACTAGTGATGAGCTGTAATGACTAGTGATAAAGAGGAAGAATGTTTCATGGGCTTTAATGCAGATCTACCCGCTAACCTTAAGTTTTCCCTTAACCCTTTCGCTGATCCGAGCACTACATATAGGACATTGTTAAGTAAAGCTGTAAGTAAACATAAACAATCGTAATATAAAAATTATAAATGTTCATCTACCTGTAAATGTAGAACTGGTGAATATTCTTACTATCTTAGAGCTGACCGGTGGCAGCAACTTCAGTGAGCCGGTGAAGATGAGGTCAACTGTTCGGTCGTCCATGACAATGGCTTAGGAAAGCTGTACTCGCAAACTGGAATAAAAATACAACTTGTTATATTGTTATTCTAGATAATATTAACATAATAATTATATGCAAGCACCTGCTACTATTACCGTAACTATTAAGGACCACTGCTGAATTTAGGCCTATCCATTGAGTAAAACAATTTTTAAGGATTTTAGCGTGCTTAATTTACTTTTGTAAATTCCGACATTTCGGGTGCTTTACACCAGTCATGATCAAGGTGGCGTCTGTCATAAAGGATAAGCCTTCCCCATAGATAGTTTCCACACTTGGCAAGTGGGTTGGTTACCGCAGTTTTTTATTTTTAGTCGTTATTAGAAAAACGCTGCTGTCCATCTCCTGATTTGTTTCCCTCTGTTGCCTCTTAAGACACCCACAGGATGATATGGGGCAGTAGATATTCATACACCGCCACTACACTGTGCTCGAATGAAGAATATTTTCCCGGAATTCAATGTATATTCAGTGTAACTACCAAGTTTCATCAAAATGCGTTCAATGATTGGTGTGATTAAAAGCAACAAATATCGAAACTTCAAAAAGAGATTTTATCATTTTACTGGTACGAAAAATTCCATCTTAGTCCCCAAGGGTGAAAACGCATCTACATTTTGATCCTATGAAAAAAAACCTTAAAAATGTATTTATTTATTACATAATTATAACACTATTACAGTTCTATTAACCAATGCGTTTTTATAACTAACTAATCTATACAAATCAAATAAATAAAATTGAAGTGTGTGTTTGTAATGTCAAAATAGAATAATATAGAAGATATAGAATAATATAGAATAATAGCAATTTATCAGAAATTTTCTTCCTCGCACAACTTCTTTGTGGAATCGGCTACTACCAGCGATTTTTCCGGACCGTTACGACTTAGATAAATGCATATGAAAGTATATACGGTGTTATAACAAAAATACAATTTTTAAAAAAAAATCTGTCTGTCTGTCCTTCTATCTGTCTATTTGTTCCGGCTTATCTCCGAAACGGCTGTTTCGATTTTGACTGGACTTGCACTGGCAGATAGCTGATTTTATAAGGAATAACTTAGATTGTTTTTATTTTAGTAAAATAATTAGGGTTCCGCAAAAAATTAGAAGCCATAGAATAGTATGTAATAAAACTACTGACTAATAAATAATAACATCTAACTATCAACATCGATATAAAATATTATATAAAAATAATATTAAGACATGTATCTGTATATTACTACATAATAAAATTATTGTCGTGAACGAACTCACGGGCACAGCTAAAAAAAAATGTGTTCTCTGTATTACATGTTAAATTTTGTACGCATTATTAGGCTGCAGTATATTATGGCTGCACTCCATCACCTGGATCTTTACTTATACGAGTCTTTTGATTCAACTTTTTAAGGCGCATGTTCAGCCTCGGTATTCCATTTAGTGTTCTCATCTCTGCACCGTGGCACTCCAGCACCAGTTCATTTCACTTCACCTCAGTCACCGCAGAGCAGACGAATCGTCGAAGGCAGAGTTCTTTCTTATCAGCTTAACTCATTGGCGCTGCGAAGATATTTTGTACTTCTATGCTCAAAGGAATTTTTCGGACTAATTCCGGCCGACATTTCGCGATACCATTTAAGCTATCTGGATGATTGGCTGTCCATCATTGTGCAATTTATCAGAAATTTCCTTCCTCGCACAACTTCTTTGTGGAATCGGCTACCACCAGCGTTTTTTCCGGACCGATACGACTTAGGTACCTTAAAAAAATCTCTTTCATAAAAAGCCGGCAACTCACCTACACTTGTCCTCATTGCCTGCTCGTTTGCCTAAATTTTACTTTTCAATTAGTTGTGCAATTTCATCACTCATACATGGAAAGGGAAATAGTCGTAACACCAAGTGATCCAGCAGGAGTATGTAATATTAATACGTGAAAATACAATATTTTCTTACATTTTTTTTAAATTATTTATTAAAATAGAAGAGAACTGAAACATATCCTCCTAAAGGTACTGTATCACAGATGTGCAAAAAACCGGACTAGATCAAATCGGACTTGCGCTCGGAGGATTCCAAACTGCGTGTTTGGGAAATAATAAAAATAAATATTTCGAGAACATGTGAAGTTCGCCAACACGCATTGCGGCACCGCGGCGGACATTTCCTTGCCATAAAACCCTCTCAGAAAAGAGAGAAGGCCTGTGCCTGTGCAGTGGGAAGTATTTAGGATGTCACTTTAAATTTAACTATAACATGAACTTCAAAGATTGTTGCCTGTTTATATAGCAATACACAAAATCCGTAAATTAACCAAGTTATTAATAGTCGTCTTTATACAATAGGCAAGTATAATAGTGTAAACAGTTACATAAGTACCTGGTTTCAGCAAATTAATTAAATTACTGATATCAATAAATTATAGCTACATTACCAATAATTACCATAAGCTTACCTAAGCACCGAATATCGCTCAAACGAAGAGGTAAATACAATTATAGGACGTACAAATATTTATAGCGGAAAAAACATTCTTCGTTAAATAGGTCTACATCACTGTCGATGAACTAAATGTTTTGTTTCTTAGTGTCAGATGCCTGGTTATGGAGGTTAGCGGGATCCGAAGCACAGTTGCACCGCTGGCTGACTGTAGATAGTTGGGGGCCCAATTAATGAGCCAGCCACTCATGAAAGGCTGTCCCGTCATCTTACGAAAAATCCTGGGATGGCTCCACCCATGCCAGTTGGCGACCGGACGAGAGGGCCTCGTGGCAATTTCCAGGGGGGGTCGGGCGTTCACGCGATCTCCATGCTAGGTACCATCGATGCTGTGACTCTGTTTGTGTCCCTAGGTTATATGTGTGACGCCTCGTCCAACTATCATTATTTCAACCTATTCACTCCCACCATTAATGAAAAAAAGGAAAAACAAGAGTAAGTTTGTACAGCGGTTGCACTACCTCTCCATCAAAGTGCACCTCACAAACATCCTAGGCCAGCACTGTAATCTCAATGCAGTCCATTACCACCTTGAGACTGACAAGCCGCATTTACTCTTATTGACTGAGACGCAGATCAGATGTTCTTTAGATGTGGCGTACCTTGGCTACCCTGGGTACAAATTTCCATCTGCGCGCCGGAGTCTGTGTTTACGTCCGCAACAACATCTGCTGTAAGCGTCTCCGTCACCTTGAAGACTCCACTTTCTCTACGATCTTTGTATTGATAGACAGCGGTCACAGCGGTGACCAGGAGACAACTAGGCTTTTTGGACATCTCAGTGAAGCCTCTGATATGGCTCTAAATCGGTACCCTAATGCACAGTTGGTTTTTTTGGGGAGCTTTAATGCCTGTCATCAGGACTGGCTATTCCCGTACCAGAAGACCGAACATGCTGGAAGAGAGGAGTGGAATTTTCCCTTGTAGCTGGGGCTGTCCCAGTTGGTACAACAAGAATAGAATAGAATAGAATATAATAATTTTTATTCAATATACATTACATGTGTAATTCTTATTGAAAGTCATTTTTTACTTTACCACTGGTTCGAAAAAATCCCTCTGTCCTGAGGAGAACCAGCAAGAAACCCAGCGGGACATTTTTTTAAATAAATTTTACAATATAAATGATTACGAACTATTTACAAAATTTATTTTAGAAACTGCTTGGAAGCGACCACCTCATTCCCAGGGGTTATTATCAACCATGTATTCATTTATACAATAATAACCCTTTTTATACAGTTTCAGCTTAATAAAACATTTAAACTTGGTAATAGAGAGAACCTGTACACTTTTCGGGACCTTGTTGTAATAGCGTATACATTTCCCCAAGAATGAATTACTGACTCTGTGGAGTCGAGAAACTGGCATCACTAGCTTGTGTTTTGTTCCTAGTGTTTACAGAATGTATATCACTTTTTTTACTAAAACTATCTTTGTTTTTGTGAACATACATTAAATTTTCGTAAATATACCGAGAGGCCAAAGTTAATATATTAATTTCTTTAAATTTATCTCTAAGAGACTCTCTCGGTTTTAGATTGTAAATAGCTCTAATGGCCCTCTTCCTAGCGACTAGGATACCTAATGTGGATGGGCACACAGCCAACTGCCTAGACCTTCTGCTGACGACTGATCCAGACAGGTACGATGTTCAGGTTACTTCACCCTTGGGAACTTCTGACCACTATCTGGTAAAATCTGTGTCGTTATATCCCCACCTCACTACGATTTCCTCGGAGTGCGACGAATGTGGCGATACAAGTCAGCAGATTGATGCGGCATTTTTTTGCATCTTATTCTTGACGGCAGGTCTGCTTCTCCTCTAAAGACCCGTCGAGCTGCGCGGATGCTATCACCAGTGAATACGCTTTTGTACTCACTCAAGTGCATCACCACTTACCACCAGGTGGAATTGTGATTAAGCACTGGCTTATAATAAGTAAAAAATGCAAATTTAAGTTCGTAGTAATGAAAACTATGGAGAGGGCTATGCTCGGGGTTTCCCTGCGTGATAGAATTAAAAACCAGGAAATCCGCAGTAGAACCAAAGTAACCGACATTGCCCATCGGATTACGTACCGACAACAGATGGGGAAGAAAGGTTCTCGAGTGGTAGCATCGTACTGCCAGGCGAAGTGTAGGGCGACTCCCCATTGAATGGAGTGACGACCTGGTCAGACATGCAGGAAGTCAATGGATGTAGGTGGCTCGGGACCGCGCTTTGTGGCATTCCTTGGGGGAGATCTATGTTCAGAAGTGGACTTGTGAAGGACTGTAAGGATGATGATGATGATAATGATTTTACTTTATTCGATCCCAACAACAGCCCATGAACGGCAAAACAAAGTAAACCTATAATTTTTCTCTTAAGTTACGGAACCCTAAAGACATGCATATGTTGCCACTAAAGTAACAGACTATATACGTCCCACAGCTGGGCACAGATCTCCTACCACTTCTGAAAGGGTTTAGGGCAAGGAAGTGTGCGCCGC